GGGCTGGGGGTAAGGGGAGGGCGTGGGAGGGGGGAGAATAGGGGAACCCATGGCTGATATGTAGAACTGAATGGTATTGTAAAATAAAAAATATATATCACAAAAAAAAGATACAACTATATTCAATCTATAATTCCATTTAAATAAATATATAGATACACACAAACTAAAAGTTAAGAAATTGAGAAACATTGGGGCCAGCAAGATGGCTCAGATGGTTAAGGCCACCATCCACAGATACACACATCCACACAGATGCAAACGTGCATACACACATACATGCACACCACACACATACACATGAAAGAGAAAAACAAAAACAGAAACGTGTTGCAATACTATCCTAGACTCATTTTTCTAGAAAAACATGAAGAATATAAATGCCCCTGTGTTCATTGCTGATATCATTTTTCTTCCCCATTTTTCTGGTTCATGAGGTCTGGAAGAACATGTTAATTTAGATTCATTTCTTATCAAATCTCTGCCTCAAAGGCAAACATTATCTGACTTTAACCTTTGCTGCTCAACACTTAAAGAACAGTATCTCAGGGAGAAATACAAACTTTCTACCTTAAATAATTCACAAGAACTTTTTGTTTTAATTAACATACTCACTGTCCTTTCCCCTCTGAGAAGTGGCCCCATCTTTCAAGGCTACCTTTTGCATCTCAGTTTCATGAACGAATAAGATGATTGAGATTCATGTAGGTTGTTTAGTACACAGACCTGTGTGAAATGACCAGGGAACAAAAACACAACCTGAGCATTCTTTCTGTACCTTCCCTCTTACTGTTCCCAGGCTTGGGCACAGCTCCTTGCATTCACATTGAACCATGTCACACAGGGACCCTGTGGTGACCTGGTACTCTAAGGATGGTGCCCAGAGTCTGAAGGGCATCACAGGAGCCCACAAGGACTGTGCCTGGTCCTGCTCTGAGGCTCAAACAATATAAGTGGCCTGTTCCACATGGAAACATTTGTCACCCTGAGGGAAAGTTCAGCAGAAGCCACATCCCCATTCACCAGGAACCCTACCTTCAAAGTAGAGAAGGAAAGACGGGGTTTCGTGGCAGGTGAGTTCTTCCAAAGTCCTGATCTTGAGATGTTGCTGATGGAGGTGTGACTAGCAAACACCTGTAACTGTGAGACCTAGATGAATGTTTAACTTTATTCATGGAGAACTCCAACTAAATTTACCCTTTCTCATATCTTACATTCTTTTGGTCAAAGACATAATTATCTCACTTTATAAAAATGAATACATGGCTTAGTTCCCACATGGCAATTCACAACCAAGTGCAAGTCCAATGCCTCTTCTGACCTCTACAGGCTTATGCATTGCACATGGTGCCCATACACATACAATTAACTAATTTTAAAATCATTTTTTAAAGTAGGCAAGATGTATTAATAGACATGTCTTACAAAAACATTGGAAATGAACATCTTCATACATAAACAAAGTAGGCCAGACTCAGAAAAAAAAACAAATATTGTGTGTTTTTCCTTGGAAGTAAAAACTCAATTTCATATGTAAGGTTTTATTTTTTTTATTCATACTATCTTTTAATGAACCCAACTTCCCAGTGTTAAAAATCAGGGAACCAAAAGGTTTCCAAGAAGCCTTATTACCCAGATATATATTAATATAAGGAAATCATCTCAAAACAGCACGCAAACACAATCCCCAGAGCACAATATAAAAGTCTTCTAATAAATATAAATATTTAGTACATAAGAATGTGAAATTACATAGCAAAAGTCTGTCGTTAGCTAATGTTCACTTGCAAGGTTTACTTATTGCACATTGCATCAGTTTCTCCTAAGAATAAGACAGCTTCCGCTGCTCTCAGTCTTTACAGCAGTACACAGCTAAACTCAACTTCTGAAATCCAGTGTCTACAGCATCCGAGTCAACCCAGTTACTGAGTGAGCAGAGCACTAACAGTCCATATTACAAAAGGTCCCCAGAGCAGGAGGCAGTTCACACATTGCAGAAGGCACACGATTCTCTACTATGGTAAGTGCATTCAGTATTATTTTAAAAAGACAAAGCTGTACAGAGTAGAAAAGGTGTATATATACTCGTGAGACAAAGCGACAACTTTATGATCGGATACTGCAGCAGGCAGGCCCTACCTACCATCCACATATGAAGAAAGATGGGCAAAGAGCTTTGCTCATTTACTTGATGAGGCGAGGGGAGACACTGGCATCTCACAGTGGATCAGTTCGTATCTTGGAGCTCAGACTGTAAGAAAAGGGCTGTGGACAATATCAAGTCACTGGATTCACCGTTTAATTCCTTCACATGTGAAGGATTCTGGGGAATCAAAGTTTTGTCCATTGCTGAAAAGATACCAAACCCATAAAGCTATGTTCTTCATTTTCAGAAACATTTTTCAATTAGGCAATTTGAATTAAACCAGCAAGACTAATCCAAAAGGATAATTTCGATTTTTAAGGCTGAAAAATATTTCATAGGATCACTTATCTCAGGGTTTTAAAAATGTTCCACAGAGCACTTGAGAATCAACAGAAGAAGTTGAAACATCTGCAAATACAAATTTTAAAACGTTTTAAAGATTTATTTTTGGGGTGTGTGTGTGACAAGTATGCAAGTGCCTTAGAAGGTCAGAAGAGGGTACTGGATCCCCTGGAGCTGGAATTACAGGCTGCTGTGAACCACAAACACGGGTGCTGGGAATTGAACTCAGGTCCTCTGCAAGAACAGCAATTGCTCTTAACCACTGGACCAGTTCTCCAGCCTCTACCCACAATTTTTTTGAAACAGGGTCTCAAAGTAGCCCAGGCTGGCCTTGAATTCACTGTGCAGATGAGGATGTCCTTGAACTTCTCACCTTCCTGCTTCCCCCTCTCAAATGCTGGGGTTCCAGGTATCACCAGGACTGTTTGTTTTTATGCGGTGCTGGGATGGAGTCCAGGTCTTCACATATGCTAGGCAAACACTCTACCAACTGAGCTACACCCCCAGCCCTGAAATATTATTTTTACAAAACAAAAGCTTCTCATCACACCAATTTGTTACTCACTAAATTCTAATGAAACTGTATCACCAATCATTGTGATGTTTTCCTACACTGACGTAATGGTGACCACACTGCATGAAGTTGATAAAAAGGACCCCATATTAATAAAATGCAGCTTCTGTATAACTGCGGTAGCATGTGTGCATACACTTGGTGCATATGGACTCTCACATTTTACTGGAAGTTTCACTGCTAAGGTTTGAAAACCACAGATACAGTCTGTTTCCCAACAGGAGCCTACAGCAGATAAAGCTGGCTGTCTCGGGCTGGGAAACATCAAACACAGCCAGGCCAGGCCAGAGGCCAGCACTGCACCGGCCTCCACACCCGAAAGGACTCCTCAGCCATTTGGTCCTTCACTGTCCTGTAGTGACAGTTGGTAGACAACTGAAGTCTTCAGTATTTGGGGGGCAGAATCAAGTCAGGTCTTTTTCTTTGAAAGGGAGTTTATTTGCATGCTCATTAAGATTTTAATCAAAAAATCAATAAGCAGCAAATTCAATCATGTACCTTTGTACTTAGGAAAATAGGAACATTTGCAATTAATCAGTGAGAAAATTTCTATGGAATGCTAAAATTTCTTAAAGGTGACTTGATTTCATGCACTAGTTTTATTATAGGCTGAACTGTTAACATCAATGTTCTTACTCCATTAGCCATGGCCGGGATTGGCCGAGGGCTGTACTCCTATTACCGTACTCTCTTCAGACTTCGAAGGA